GCCCAGTGTGTTCAGGGCACTCCTACAGAATGTACGACGGCCACGCTGCTGCTCTCGTGGAGGCCCAGCAGTGGAGTGAAATGTGTTCTTGTCATTTCCTTGGGTTTTTATTGTAGCTGGAAAATGCAAATATTATGTAGTTTCTCAGGCAAGGGGGGGAGGGAGTGATCCCTTTTTAATATTTTGTAACTGTAATGTTATGGCACCTCTATCTACTGCTCTTCAAGTGGCATATTTTAAAAAACATTGGCAAAGTACTGAATTATAAGCTTGATAAGTTTGGCTGGAGAGCTTTGAGCACCGCTCAGCGATAGGTGTTTTCATACACACCTGAAGGACTTACACATTCCTGTGAGCAGTGCTTATACGCGCTGCTTACACCCCCCCGAGTGCAATCTTCATTCTGGATGTGTAATCTCCACAATGACAAAATACAAAGCTCTCAACAGCCTATTTACTATAGGATGGAGATCATCCTTGGGATTTTGCTGCCCCTCTGATAGCCCACGTTTGTCATTAATCACACAATAGATCACACTGAGATCTCTGAAACAAAGTCATTTGAGATGTAAGGGAACGGAATTGGCCATCTTTAACTGTTTGGGATCCACAAACAGAAGAAACTATCCATTTAAATGAAGCATGTTTCAAAACAACCACTGTGGTTTTAACCACTCCGGGATCTTTTTTTGGTCCTGTTGCTAAACCACTGAAAGACCAATGACAGTAACAACTGGTTCACCCAGATAAGTAGATCCACGTGCATGTAGGTTGCTCCAGTTGGAGGTCTCCTAATGCTATTGTCAGAAATTCTTATTTCCTTCCTTAGTAGATGGTGGTGGTTCTTGGTAGTGGTAAGAAAAAGGCAGTAGTAATTAATAAAATAGTAGGTGTAGTTGTCTGGATTCTTCCTCCTGTAACTTGGAGGATGCCATTATTTGATTCCATAATAGTCAGTGAATGCAGCAAAGTAGGAGCCACAACTAAACATTGTCTGTTATATATAAATCCACTTAACACACACGGTGCATCTTTTAGCATATCAGAAACATACTTTTCACAGCTGTTGATGGTTGAGCTTTCTGGCATTCCCAAGGAGTAACTTAGATGGGAAACTGCTTTTCTAAAGAGAGTGGAGCATGAATGGAATGCTTACCAATATTTTGCAATTTATTTGATCAAAAGAAACCAAATCTGGGGCCACATAAATACAAATCTCAAGTTCTAAGCATTACTGCTTGGAAATACCTGTATATTTCTTAGAGTACACATTGAATGGTCCAACATCATATTTTCGGTGCAAACATACTTTGCCTAATTCTTAAATCACTGGGGCTACCCCTTTCCTTAATAACAAAGTAAACTCCTTTCTAATTTTAAATATATTTATCCACTTAGAATCGAATTCATTCCCCACCTTTCTGTTTACAATACTCAAGCACTTGAGGTGACTTGCAGTTTAAAACTGCAGAATATTAAACGTAATAAAACCCACACAATTAAACACAAAATCAATTTTCCTTAAACCAATTAACTGTTGAAAAACTGACAGAAACAATGTTCTTTTGTCGTTTATGGTTTTCTCTGGGAGTCCTTTAGTAGAAGCCCACCCACCCACATCTGCCTGAGAGAGGCGCTTCTGCTAATGTAAATAACTGCGCAGGTTCAAAGCCGGAGAGGCCGTTCTTGATAGTTAGACATGGAAGCCAGAGAAAGGCTTTGAGTAGCACCTTTGCCATTTAAAAATAACAATAAAAATGTGTTTGGTTTCATAGAGAGGATCAAGACTTAGCTTTTAGTGAATCAGTTCTCTGTGAAGGCTTGGTCCCAGTTTCTTTGCCATCAGTGATTTTCTTTTGTAAGTGTGCGCACATATTTCTCAAATGCAATTCCTATCTGTAAAGCTCTTCGAATCCTTTGGAAATCTTTTTGTTTCTGTACCCTCCGATGAGGATAGCATGATAAGGAGAGGGCTGCTTAGGAAACAAGTCCCTAAGTCTGCTTTTAGGCTAAGCAGAACAAGTTTATTTAGTGTTGTAAGCACCGTGCAAACTGAGTATTATCTCACGTGCCATTTTTTTAAAAAAATGATTGATGGGGTGAAGCCAAAGCAGCCTTACTTCCTAAATTACTGACAGTGGTGTTGTTTCACCCTGTAGATCCAAAACAGGACCTTTGTTTTGCAACAACAATCTTGCATGGCTGCGCTTATGAAGTATTACTTCTTTGATACAGCTTGGAAAGATGGAGCTCTTGAAGTCTTTGGAGGTAGCGTTGATGAAGTTACAGTAGCTTTAGAGCTGAACAGCTGATTGGGACGTTTTCACAATACAATGCAGAATGTTATTAAATTCAAATGTCAACTCTTAAGACCTCTGAAGATCTATTTTCTTCACAATCCCCATCCTTTAGGAATTGAGGCCAAGCCAAAAATTGTATCTAATAATCTAATAATTGGGAGTAAAAACATTTGTACGCTCAATACTTACTCACTCTGCTCTTCAGCTTGTGGTTTGTCAAAGGTCTCCCACCTTCAGCCTTCCTTGATCACAGGTTATCTAGCTTATTAGATGACCATTCCCATCAGCTTAGCCATACTGATAGCGGGTGATGGGACTTGTGAACCAGTACATCTAGAAGGCCTTTTCAAAAATGGTTTAGTAAAGCAAAACCCTGTAACATTGTAGAAGCAGCGACGGCTACTGCACTCATTTACTTGTCTATTCCACACAGACAAATTTCCCTCCTGTCCTGGTGTTTTTCTTGCCAATAACATTCCTTCACATCATCTCATATATCCAGGAAGTAATCCAATGGAAGAATTTTAAGCAAATCACCCAATTCATGAAGTATGATTCACATCTAGGGATGTGCATCACTTTGGATCTGAAATGAAAATGGTGATGCGTAGTTGACAGGGCACACATCTCACACCTGTTGGTGTCACCTTGCATCTTTTCTGGGTTTGCATAATGGCCATACAATACTAGAAAAATATGGTTGAATCGAGGCATTTAGGCCAACTCTAAAGCACCTTCCTGCATATTATTGATTGGTTACCATACAATACACGCCCAGACTAAAGATGCAACTGCTTTAAGGAGGGACTTTAAAGAAGCATGGTGTTCATGCCCATTATCTACTCTGAAGCCACTTTTTTTAAAATTTTGACAACAGCAAAACTTTACATATAGCTTCTTTTTGTGTACAGACACATTACCTTAGTATGAGTATGGGTTTACAATTTGTTTGTTTTGCACAGAAAGTGGGCAGTTCAGAGCAGGCGTGTCCAACTTGTGCCCTTCGGGTTGTATGCAGCCCTGGACAGCTAGTAATGCCACCCCTAAAACTAAAGGAAGTTTGTCATTTATATATATTAACTATGTTATATATTTTATATGCGGCCCAAGACAATTCTCTTCATTCAATGCAGTCCAGGCAAGTTAAAAAGTTGGACACGCCTGATTTAGAGTGATAGTTCAAAAGAAACTGAGCTGTTCCTAAGGCAAAAGAAAAATGTAGACAAAATATTTAATCGCCCTTGGTCTGCATAGTATCAATTGCCTTCTCAGGCCCAAGGTCTGTGCCTCTTGCAAGTCAAAACTTTATAGCCTAGATATTGAATTGAGTGGTGGATTCTCTATATGGGCTTGGACCCCTTGCAGCATGATTGGCTGGCAAGCATCGCTGAGGCCCATGGATGTTGTTTCAGACCCCACGCCAGGGTCCTGAGACCACCAACCAATCCATTTGCCTGAGAAACGAATCCTTGGGAAGAATTCATGTCTTGTGTGCAAATGGGCGGCTTGATGTGCATCTTGTGTGCACTTGAAGAATGCATGTACATATGTATCTTTGCCTCTTTGTAATCTACACTCTTTTCTCTATAGAACAAAGAGGTCCATTGCCACCTGAAAATCGGCAACTGTTATATTCTGGATTTTTTTTCTCAAAGGGTTTGTGTAGGCTGAAATATTTTATTCATATGTGTCAGAAATGGGAGCTTAAAAATTGTTGTTTACTCTGGACCAAATTCTTGTTTTTTCTTGATGTTGCTGTTCCTCTTTTTTATCTCCTTCATTTTTCTTCTGTGACTAATATTCGTACTGGGGATTTGGGATTTTGTACTTTTCCCATAAATAGTATCATTTGTGCAGAGCTGTGTCTGACAGAAATAACTGATAAACTGAAATGAGGATGGTAATGTGGGGAAGACCCAGTTTATTTTTTTCTTTTTGATGGTAGTTTTCTAGATAGCTACATCAACTATTGTTTCAAAGGAGCTTCCAGTGGGAAATATAGTGCCAAAATCTATTTTTAATTGAGTAGAAGAATATTATCCTAACTTTTGTCAGAAAATAAGATTTTCATTTTCATTTACTATTGTGATCCCCCCCCCACCCGCCCTGTCTGGATTGTGCTACTAAACTGTTGTTAAAAGAAAAAAGTGAACAGATCAAGTTTGCTTATGAAAAGTAAGCAAAATTCTTCTGCTGAATTTTCTTCTTCAGGAAGTCCTGCCATGAAAAAAAGAGGAACATTGACCCTTATACTCTATATACTGGAGGTGAACTCTTTGAGTCTAGATAATGGAGGGTATGTCCCCAAAGGAAAGACTTTCTGTATATTTTTACAAATAGTTGATTGACAACATGCAGCACCCATTCATTTATTCAAGACTATGAATGGATTGGGTCCCCCTCCCTTCCTTCCTCCCTCCCTCCCTCCCTTCCCTCCCTCCCACCTTCCTTACCTACCTACCTACCTACCTAAAAATATCAATTTGTTTTGCAGTGTTGCATGGTTAATAAGCCCTACTTGAACTCCTGGCTGGAGTGTAAAAATCTCTTCACCGAAACCTCAAAAACCAGGCTGTTCCCATGGTGCAAGGGTGTGTTTCCTTCTGATGATTGGGAAAAGCTTTTTGAATGTTGGCTTTTCTCCAGACAATGAAGATTAACTCATTTGCAGAGTTGGGTGGGAGGGGGGGGGGGTGGCATTATTCATCTCTAAGTAGCTTTTAAACCTTTGTAAACAATGCAAGCATATGAATGGTTTGGCTGCCTGCTATCTTGCCCAAGAGAGAAAGAATCTATGTCAGGTTTCTCCAACCCAGTGTTCTCCAGAGATGTTGGACTACACGGCCTATCATCTCCAGCCAGTGTTGCTCTTGGAGGGCGTCTGGCTGATGGAAAAGTCTAAGCTCCTAAAGTTTGCTGAAGTACAAATGTTAGCACTAGGTTCGATACACAGGGAAATGTGGAATTACTGCACTGACTTAGCAACAACACTGCCTGCATAAAGCTACACCTAAAGTGTATCGGGCTGGCAAGCTCTCCTCCACCCATTGAGCAGGCCTTTCAGGAGATCTGCTGGAGGATGGATTTAACCCTTCAGCCAGCTGCATTTCTAGGTTCCCAGAGTGCTCAGTGTTCACAAGTAGCCTTCCAGTTGCAGAGCCAGGTTGTCTTGAGACTTCACTTGCCTTGCAGGTCAGAGGGCATAGCATGGAGGACCCAGGGCCTACCAGCACATTCAACTGAGAGTCAAACATGCAAGAGAAGAACTGGGGAAGAGGCACCCAGCCTGGAAATACAAGCATTTGTGGTGAAATCTACAAAACCTGCCTCACTATGCCTAGAATGGGAAGTGCTGCTGAGGCTCTGGCCAATGGACTTTCCCCCTGCTCCCTTCTCAGAATTGAAGGGAAACCTACAGAACCCCTGGAGAACCTCCTCACGTCCCGCTTTGTGTGCTGTTCTCAGTATGGTGTTTACGTGCCATATGGATTTATAGTACCAAGCAATGCTGAATTGTTAAGAGTAATTTTTGCCTTTTGATTTCTTTTTCCTGCCCTTTCTTTATATCTTTAGGGTACTACTTGTAAATCTAACTGTTGGATAATAAAAATTTTCTCCAAAATACCCAAACAAACTCAACATAACAATCAACAGTTTCAGCTCAAAAAGCTTTCTTTGTGTTTGTCAAGGGGTTGGGGGGAAAGGGATGGTTTCCCTTTATTGGGCGGAAATTCTGAATAGTCTCCTTGCTGGGAATAATGAACATTGTGTTGACAGGCTCTCAAACGTGAACCCTTGGCAGGTTCTAGAAAGAGCTGGAGAGCAATCATTTTTGCAACTTTCAAAAAGAAGTTCCTCAAATTACAAGCTTACCCTCTGTTCAAGTCATAAATTGCAAATGTCACATGTGATAATCCACGTTGGCTGGCATTTCAAATTTATACAGACACCAAAAATGGAACATTTCCATTTTTCTTGCACCTGCAAGCTACACTGATACCAGGGTAAAAAATAATAATAATCCCAGAAACATTTTCCTTTCTCCTCATAGTAAAATTAAAATACTAGCCTAAGAGATATTTGTTCTCTCATGATAGCCAAAGACGAATTGCCTTATTCTATCTTCTAGTGGCATCATGCTTGCCAACCCACACATTATTAGAAAGCCAAATAGTGAAAGCACATATAAACAATGGTACATGTTAGAAAATAAGGTGTGTTTGCTGGTGTAGTTCTAGCTCATTTCCATTTTAACAATAAAGGTTTAGAGATTTCTGCCCAAGAATAAAAGTTTTGATATTATCACTATTTCGTGCAGAACCTTTAAGAAGGGAGGGGAGAGAAAACAATTGTGCTTAATTATTTTTAAAGAGTTTTCCATGGAAACCACCATCTGGCCACCTTTGCAATGTTGGTAAGAAACCTAGGTCTTCTCCAGCAATGGTGAGAGACCTTGGATAATGAAGGTGTCTACCCAGAGGTCAATAGTGTCCATAAGTTGGTTGTGACTTCAACTGACTACATGGACAAGCTCATGCTTCACTGGGCCAAAGTCATTCTGTCACACCCCATTAAAGCAGGATCAGAACTCTTAGTGACCAGTAACTAAGTTCAATATTTTCAGTCATATCATTACCACTATCTTCATACTAAACTTTTATTCTCTGTCTTGTCTCCATTGAAGCATTTTGTTTTACCGAATATCCTAACAATTTTCTGAGTAGCCACATGTACTGTATGTTATCTTTCAGCTGGATTCCTAAGCCCACAGGATGCTGGACTTAATGGCCCAAGAAGCTTCTTCCAGTTCTCCGGTTCCATGATCTTGTTCAGTCTCATCTTTGCTTCTAGTTTAGAGCAGATGTGGTAAAGTTTAAGTTGCAGATCTTGAGTTAATTCAGGCCACAGAGAAGCCGATATCCCAATGTTTTATAATTTATTTCATTACCAGTTCAGCATCTTCAGCGAACAGCTGCTATACATTCGGGACATTGCGTTGCCAGAAGTAAATGGGCACAGTCATATTTCTGTAGTATTCAAGGAAGGGTTTCCAGAGTCTGCAGATACAGCAACGGAACTCTCTAAAGCAGCTTTCAAGGGCTCTCCCCAATTGTCTGCTTCCTGGTGAGCATCCGCTTTGTCCACCTGAAAATAGTAAAATCATATTTAAGAATTATTGTTTCTGCGGGTTATCGGTGGATAACAATAGTTTTGGATTGCCACACAATATAGACACCATATCCTAGGCTTTATTAGTCTGGATATTATTATTATTTTTTAAATAGCCACACCCTACACACACCCTTTTCTTCTACCCACTATCTCACATCCTTACATATAGGAGCTGGAAGATAATTCTAACAGCAGATCTATAGCCGAAAAAGGGGACATACAATTGTTGAAGCTGCTGTTTCTGTTGTGTCACAAAACTGCTGTCTCCAACAGGACTGAGAGTGCATCTCCCAGAATCCCTAGCATTGGCTACACTAGTGACAAATTCTGGGATTTGCATTCCCAGCCCATCTGTAGGGTTCCGAGTTGGGGGAGGTTGTTAAGTATGTGAAAGGCATTTTCTTTGATCAGGAGTTGATCCAGAACACTATGCTTCTAGAGCACAGCACAGATGAACGTGGGTCTTCCCACTCTGTTTTCAAATACATACTTGGCCATCTGGCATCCTTGTAAACAGCCAAGCACAGTGTAGACTATGACTGTGATTGTATGAATATATGGCAGGCTTACTTCTCATGCCATTCCTTGTAGAGACTGGAAAGGCCTAACAATAGCAGTGATATAAAACTGAGCAGCACAAGCCCAAATTCTTCATGAAGATCAGGTTATCAGTGAGGGGTGAACCAGAGAGATGGGTGTACGTATATAGCTGCATCCTTTCCGATAATTTCATCTTCATTAAGAAATTGGGATAACCCACAAACTTTGATCCAGTAGGGCTGGCTTTGTAAGTTACAGAAATCCAGAAGTTGTAATTTGTAAACTATTGTTTATGATATGTAATCAGGGGTAGGCTGCTGGGGGTTTGCACAAGTTCGGGCGATCCTCTAGCTAGGAGTCTGCCCAGTTCGGTGAACCCGCAAATGCCACCATTGGCTGGCCCCTGCCGCTGTGCCCCTCCCAGGAGTCTCCACGCAGCCCATTCGTCATGCCAGGTAAGGGCAGTGCCTGCGGAAGGCTCGGGAAGGTGGGAAAACAAGCCTACCAGAGGTTCCATAAGTCCAGAAACAAGCCTGCTTTCAGCCTCCGGAGCCCAGGGGAAGCAGTTTTCGCACTCCCAGGGGCTCAAGGAAAGCCTCCGGAACCTGGGGAGGAAGAAAAACACTCTCCCCCTCCCTGCTATGGTGCAGGAGGCCAAGTAGGCCATGCCCCCATGGCCATGCCCACCCAGCAACAGGGCAGCAAACCTGTTGCTGCAATTTTTGAAGCCCACCTCTGGATATGTTATGAACCAAGCCACTAAAGTTTGCTCAGTGATTTATAACTTAACCACAACGTGTGAATCCAGCTTATCAGTCCTTAAGGTTTTAGTTAAGAGGGCAGAGATTCTGTCCAAAACAGAAAAAGCCTTCAAAAGTAAAGGACAGGTCAGTGGATAATTTCCATTTGTCATTGTATGTGTTAATCACAAATTAAGCAGAAGGGGAAAGCAGGATTTGACCTATCACCTAGGAATCTAAAGATAATGCAACTCGGTTTTAATACTTTCCATATATGAAAATTTCTATTACTTAAAAAAAAATCCCTTATAGATAGAAGAGGTTAACTTATTCTTAGTAAAGCAAGTAATATATTTACTTGGAACAAAGGATACCCTACCCCCAAAATATTCATTGTGCAAAAAATGGGATGGGTGTCTTACTTTCAGGTTAGCAGGAAATAAGTCGTGTGGAACGTCAAACATGTTTTCATCCAGAGAGTTCAGGCTGTAATACAAAAAGCAGCTTGACTGTCCGAGGAACTCTTTACCATCTCTAGCTGCAAGTCTCCATAACCCCATTATTGCCTCCATTAGTTCTGAAGACCCCTGTGGTTTCTAACTTTTAGCACATGTGGGAAATTTGACACCTCAATGACAGAAAATAATATGGGGTGAGGAGGGAGGTTCAAAGAGATTTCCAGAACTGTACGAGATAAAGCTTCCAGTAAAGCAGTCACATCAGCATAATCACATTCTGTATTTGCATAGATGATGATTAATTAAAGATTAAATTCATTGTACTACCTGGCCACTTCAGAACTGGCATTTTCATCAAAGCCAAGGTTCACAGAAGGATCCAAGGAGAAACCAAGCACAGGATTAGCCCTGCAGAAGAATGTTTTACGTGTGAATGTCTTATGTATCCAGTCCTATGCCCAGCAAAGAAAGCCATAACACAGCATTTGGCAGCAAACATGATTTCCAGCTATTCTTAGACTATTCTTAGACTATTCTTGGGTATGCCACTAGCTGTACACAATCAGTTGAAACTACCAAGGTGGCATGCAAAGGTACTAAAACTTTAATTTCCCACAATCTGGATTACCTTCCAACCAAGCAACAAGCAACTGCTATCCTAATTTTGCCCTCCTAAAACAGGTTTGAAGCAGGGATGGGTTCCGGCAGGTACTATTGCCGGTTCTCTTGTGGGTTCACCTGTGCGCGCACCCTTGATGTGTGATGTGCGCACATGCACAGTATAATAAAAATGTTCTGTGCATGCGCAGATGCCAAAAACAAGATGGCGGCGCCTATGGTGCCACATGGAGAACCGGTTCGGGGACGTGGCAGGCCTGGGTAACTCTGGTTGAAGCAACCCAGGCTGCCAAACCACTACCAGTTCAGCCAAACCGGTCCAAATTGGTAGGAACCTGGTTTGAAGCCTGAGAGATTTCATATTTCCCAAAGACTGATAGATGATCTTACATTGTTCTTGGGCACTTCTATAGTGCTTCAACAGTACAACCCTGCCATAATTTCCCAGGTTTCCAATTTTAATCACATTCAGCTTTTTGTTCATTTGAAGATGCCGGATATTTTCAGCATATTCAAATTCAGCATAGGATCTGCCCAACAGAGAGAGTTTTATCATTGAAAATTGGCAATGTAAAGGATTAGATGGTTTTCGGGAGATGGGAACTTAAAACTTCTTATTTGCATTTCTTCCATCTACATCAATTTATCATCTCTCCCTCCCCTCCCTCCCTCCCTCCTCCTCCTCCTCTTCTTTTTCTTCTTCTTTTCTCTCTCTCTCTCTCTCTCTCTCTCATTCTATCTCTCTCTCTCTCTCATTTATATGGCCACCTATATCAATGACTTACTCTGTGTAGCAAATTAAAATAAAATAGAATAAAACTAATAACAAACCCTACAAAAAATTAAAAATGCAGGCAACCAAGAAACCACCACCCAATCTAACCCAACCATGAAACGCATCTCCACAACTCAGGGCTTCTGTCACAAGCTGTACCTGCTTCTCTCTAACCATTCCCTGTGCCTACATACCCTTCTGTATTATATTTATTGGTCCCAGGGATGGCAGGTCCTTGCTGCGCTCCATTGCCTGAGAAATGTGAAGCCACCTTCAAGGCTTTGAGTGCCTTCAACTTCCTTGTATAACTGCAAAAAGAAAGTTTGTTTGTAGCAAGCTGGCAAGTGGGTTGAAGGGAATCCTTAATAGTAGAAGAATAGACCATCCGAGGGAGGTTGCTGCAGTGGCTTTTACAGATGTGCAGCCAATATGGTATGGCAAAAGGGTTTAGAGCTTGCAGCCATAGGGAAAATTCTGGGTGCATTGAATTCACCCAGATTCTGATCAGGAATCGAGGGGGGAAAACATTGGGAAATTGAACTGATGGGGAAGTTGTACCTTTTCCTCATGCCAATTACTGTCCCAATCAAGAGGAGGAGGAGGATGAAGACAGCTGCTGCCATCCCTATAATAATACCAAAGAACTCCATCTCTTTTCCAGGTTCCTTCACATCCCCAGGACCCTGGGAACATACAAATGTGTTTTAATAGCTCACTCGGTACAGAGTCCATTCTAGCTTTCCCTATCCTCATGCTCCCCATATCCAATTGCACCTCAGATAGTCTACAGTCAGCAGAATCATATCGGTTGGGCCAGTGGTGGGTTCTGGGCAGTACAGCCCAGTACGGCTGTACCGGTAGTAGCTGGGAGCAACGGCCTCCGTACTGGGCTTGTTTGGCCCACTCGCCTGTGTTCCATAGCTGTTTTTGAAGTAACCGGGCCAACTGTGGATACATGCACAGCGTGCAGGGCCTGCGTGACCTCCACCGAGCAGCTGGATGTCACAGGGCGGTGGCATGCGCATGCATGTGCATGTGTGCGCAACACACGTGCCCAACTTGGATGCCCAGCACCGTGCATAGCGTACCAGTTGCAACGGTGTCTGGAACCCACCACTGGGTTGGGCATCATAGAAGCTATAGTCTAAACATCAGGAAAATGCTAATTTGGGGAAGACGGATCTGTATTACATAGGCTAACGCTAAAGGCTATGCTGGGAAGTGGGGAGGGGGGTGGAATCACAGAAAAGGCTTTCTTCCACAGTGTTATCAAGAAAATTGCACCCATGGAGCCAAGTTTGATTTGAGGAGGACTTTTTGTAGACAGGACTTCCAGCTGCCCTCCAAACCTTTTGGATTACAATTCTATCATTGTCACCCAGTGTGGCTAATAAGAAGGGAATGCCTGAAGTTGCAAATGTCCCATTGTGCTGGATGTCTATTTCTCCAGATGAAACTTTGGCTTCCCCTATCCGGCTTCTCTCTTAGTTGTTTTGTTCACTTCTGGCACAAAATTATCGCCCTCCTTAGTCAAACATCTTGCTACTTTCATTCCTACTTTCCCGTTTTGCTTTCAAATTCAACTCATCTGAATGTGGAAGCATTAGAAAGATAAGAACTCTCACAATGAGCGACAAGCCAACGTCGATAAGTTTTTCCAACTGTTCCGGGTTGCTTCGAATGATCCTGAAGAAAACATATTTTGAGGATGATTAGGAAGTGTTTCCCAAGAGCTGTTTGGTATTTGCAACTACAATATAATTAAGCATGAGTTGTGTTTTTTAAAAATGAACAAAAAGTCTGTTTCCAACTTCTCACTTAGTGCCTCTGCAGATCCTGTGGGTTTTGTGTGTGTGTGTCATTATGCTGAACTATCCACCAGCAATTCCTTCCTTAATCTCAGCCTTCCTCTGCATTATTTTCCTCTGTTTTCCATCAGACTTTCATATTAGCTCCATATACACTGATATGTTTAGATGTTTTGCTCAGGCTGAAATTTCATGGGGAGAGAACCACTAGGGCTAAAATATGGTTTAAAAGGTGTGGGGTGATTCTTAGCTTAAATTATTGGGGGTGGGGTGAGGGACAAGGTTTGCATCATTTAAAAGTCTCCACCTTTTCTTTTTAATTTGACCACTTCTTTTTCCAGTGTTGTCACACTAACAGCTCAATGGGCCAACCCAAATGGGAATTTTATGTGATCTCTGTTCCTTCCCTATTAGATTGAGAGCAACGTGACCCTTACCCGAGCACTTGATTATCATTCAGAGCCGTGCCATTCTTGTAAACAAAATAGGCATCCATTGCAGTATTCTCCAGAGCCCTACAGAAGATAAAAAGACATGTAAGATAGAAGGACTGAAGGGACAATACCAGCACGACCTTCTTAGAACCACAACCAATCCAAGAGCTACCTCAAAGAAATGGCTACTTTTCCAATCCCCTTAAAAAAAAGCATCCTAAGAAATCAGTGTTATAAAGGCAGACTGATCATTTGTAAAAAAGGGTCTAGCTACACTGCTCATCCAGATACTAACTTCATGCTGGAATCTCAAAAATCTCCTTCCATTTTCGTATGCTCTACCAACCCCATAACATTCCACTGAGTAGGCCTATGCTAGTCGCTGTAGCAAAATATACCCCCCAATATTTCAACATGCGTCCCCTCTTTCTTCACCAACCACTTTATATGCTTTTTAGCCTCATTTAGTTCCTCATTACCATAGCTTCCCTCTGTTCAAATCACCTTTTGGATTTGGGGGTTGATGAATCGTCTATATAGATTGATGTTATGTAGACAGTTGTTCCAGTTGCACTGCTCAGAAGGCTGAAAGTGACATAAAAAAGGCACAGGTCTCATCAGCGTTCCATGCTAAACAGCCCCTAACATTGCACTTACAGGAAACCCAGTTAATGTTGACAAATTGTAAAATAATCATTACTTAGTGTCATTTCATTGAATATTCCAATTCTCTCTGGTGTATGGTCTACCCTGCACAGGGGTAGGCCTCAAAAATTTCAGCAATGGGTTCTCTGCCCGGTTGCTGGGAGGGCGTGGCCATGGTGGGTGTGGCCTAGTCAGCCTCCTGAACCACGGCGGGGGTGGGGGCGCGTTTTCGCCTTCCCCAGGCTCTGGAGGCTTTCCTCGAGCCTCTGAGAGTGTGAAAAATCCTCTGAAGGCCCTCCGGAAGCTGGAAATGGGCCCATTTCCAGCATTCTGGAACTTCTGGGAGGCCGGTTTTTCCTCCTCCCTGAGCCCCAATGAGGACCCTGCACTTAACTCGCATTCAAAATAAGCCGCGTGGAGACTACGGGGAGGGTAGGGGGGAGAGGAGGGGCAGGGGAGACGCAGCCAGCCAGGGGTGGGATTTGGAGGTTCACAGAACCGGCCATAATGTTAGCTATGGGTTCTCCTGAATCTGGGCAAACCCATAGCAGCCCTGACCCTGCATCATTAAGTATGAGACACTCATATCATTAGAGAGCCATAATTCAAAACCACATTTTAAATATGGAGACGTGGGACTTGTGAACGTAAGTTTTGGGGAAAGGGGCCAACCATCTTTAGCAGCTCTGTTCAGAAAACATCTCAAGATATTCATAAGACATTAACTCTGACCAGGAAACCTCTAGAATCCTGAATGCACAAAGTGCCTGATACTCTATTCTAGTCAAAAAAAATTAACAACTTACATCCCTGAAATCGATACAATCCCAGCAGCAACTATTTCCTGTTATTGCATATGTTTGGGTGCTCTTCTTCACACAGTGCACTAAAGCATAATGTGCCTTGTCTGACTTTGGCTCAACATATTGTGTGAGCCCCCCACCCCATCCCATTGTGATTTCTCTAGCTTAGTACATTAGATGAAATTTAGTAAATTGTGATGCCTTCAGTAAACCAGAGTTAAGCAAATCTGGGGTAGCGTGATATGTGAATTTAGCATTTGTTTTAAGAACGGCTTTGCCAAAGCTAAATGGCACCTCCTTCAGTTATGGAGTCAATGCCCACAAGAGTGCACGTACACACCCACATACCACACTGCTTTCTTTCTCCTTTATTTTGTAAACTGACATGGTTTTTTGCCTTGTTCTGCATAACAAGATGGACAGAAGCACCATATTTAGACAGTGAGAGGTGAGAGGCTGCCATACCTTTTGATTTCATCTGACTTATCCTGCAGTTCCTTTAAACCGATGCCAAATTTCAGTTTTATACGGAAACTCTTAGCCACACTGAAGATCTGGAGAAAGAAAGAAATGATCGTTCTCAGAGATCAGACATTATGAAAATTCAATCGATGGAAGTTGGTCAGGAGAGACAACAAACTTACATCCAGTGATGTGAAATTGCTTAGGGCTTGAGTTCCATTATCTTTGGCTTCCACTTTCACCCAATATCGGCCTTTCAACGCGCTATTAAGGTTTCCTGCTATTCTGTAGGAATAGAAGGCATTGCAGCATCAGAGAGGTTTGTTCTTGATCAAACTCTGCACCACCCTGAAGTAGACCTGCCCAGTCCCACCTCCATCTTGAAATATTTCTGCATTGGTAGCTTTCATGTTTCTATTCCAAATTTCAGGATGGTTCAGCAGAAAACCAAATTAAGCATTTGCTAAATTGGGATCTTTATCGTAGCACCAGAAAAAAGTTGTGATGTTGCCAAAGATACAGATCACAACAGATCCTGCTGATAAAATTTCAATAACTTAGAAGTTTATTTTTGAGAACATGATAAAGAGTAAAATGAAATTGTGTAAAATGCTTTCCAGTGTGTTGTGAGAACCCAGCTGATAGTGATCTATGTTGTATGAACTACATTATACTACTAAACCATAATCTGGCTCATTATTTGAGCAAAAGCATTCCATGTGAACACGGTGATTGCAATTTTCTAATCTGGGTTTAGTGTGTTCCGTTAACTATATCCAGATGGTCACTCAGCATGCACGACAGCCTCTCCTAATCATCTCCCCTCAGGAGCTGTCATCCAACTACATCTGGAGAGCACCAAATTGAAGTTGTTCTATGAAACCCAGGATCAGCAAACCCACTGAAAAAATTGAACCTTAAATAGCTAAGTGATTATCCAAAGTGCCGCTCATATTTTACTGCTTCTAAAGGTACCAGAAAGCAAATCTCTTTCTCCCTACCCAGTAGAGATCCCCAATAAGCCTCATATACATGTTCAAAGAATGTGTGTGGAAATAGAGCGTTGCAGGAATCTATCAGTGCAAAAGCCAGCTTTTCCCCATGCTTTCTTGTTGTGCAAATTCCCTTGGGTTAGAGACAGAGGTGGGTTCCTACCAGTCTGCACCAGTTCGGTAGAACCCATTCGTCAAATCTACCGAACCGGTTAGAAGAGGTTCCACCAGTGGACCCGGAAAGCAGGCCACAGCTACAGAAGAGGTTCCAATTTTTTTTGAAACCCACCACTGACACACAGAGAGACAGAAAGACAGAGAGACAGAGAGACAAACAGACTCACACACAGAGAGAAAGAGAAAGAAAGGAATAAAGAAAGAAAGAGAGAAAAAAGAAAGAAAAAGTGAGAGAGAGATGAAAGAAAAAAAGGGAAAAGGGACAGAGAGACAAAAGGAAGGAAAGAGAGAGAGAGAGAGAGAGAG